TCCAGTTCTTCAGAAAACAGTAGAAAAGCAATACAAGGAAGCCACTGACATTTTCCTAAAAGGTTTCTGCCTTATTAGAATTTGAGTGTAATTACACATCAAAGCCAAAGAAATCAGGTCAACCTGAAGTTACTAGACGGCAATTAGGGCTTCAGGAGATCATTTGCTTTATCAAAATACTTAAGAACGGTCAACATGAAAGAATCTGTATTTCTAAATGCAGCATCAAAATAACGTCTTGAAGACATTCAAACAACTTTGCAAGCTTCAATGGGTGGAGGTAGCTGAAAATGAAGAGAAACTTCTGAACTCAGAGGTTTTATGTACGAGCAAAGATGACAATCACTCTATAAAGCAAATTACATTTACGAATTCTTTATTTTAATAAATATATAACCCAGCTCTGCATCCTACCTGAATTGTCAACTCCTTTTCATTTTTTAAGTCTTCCTCTAACCCCTGAGCTAGCATGGAGTAGTGCAAAAGAGGTTTCTTCCCATCTTTAAGAAGTGGCAAGTTTTCCGTCACAGTTTTTTCATGTAGTTGCAAAGAACAAGAATACGAAGTTTCTTTCAGAGAAGAGTTTTCTTCATACACATTCATCTGAAGTTGATTTCCTTGTTTAACTGCAATCTAAATAAACAGTACTTACACACACCATATATACTCCACTTACAACCAGCATACAAAATCCTATAAAAATACAGCACTACACTGGAGAAGCTGGAGAAATACTAACACACAAAAAGAAAGACTGAGTGAAATGCCAAAGAACAGTCAGCTGATAACTATTCCAACTCTCTTAAAGGCTACCAATATGCTTATTAAAAAGTTTATTATAAGCAAAAGTATGATCATGCAGATATTCTACAGGAATTTTTCAATCTACAATAAAGCTGTTCACATGAGCCAGTAAACAATAGATATTCTGTTCATGAAGTTACACTAAATGTTAATTTATTATTATTTTCAAATTATCAATTTGAAATTCAGACCATGAGATAAAAGTTCTGAAAGCATTAATATTGTACAACTAAACTTGAAAGGAATGCCATTCTTATTTTGTCTAAGTAAAATTAACTGCTTATAACATAACTAAGCACTGACACTAATTAGAGTTTTCATGTTGTACTGCATAGCAATGTCTCTGTGGCAAGATTTTTAAAGGGACCCCATTAGAGCCCAGTATCTCCAAAGATGAGATTAGTGTTTAAGGTGTGAGAAAGCCGGTCATTTAACCAATGCATGGGCTGCTCTGGGGCCTGAACCACAACTGCCTATTCAACTAGTTCAGACAAATCATGATTAGCCTAGACAGAAAATAACTGTAGCAACACATTCAAGTTAGTGTACAAAGCTAGAAAACTGAGCTATTCTGATTGCCATGGGCCAGGTAATGCTGCATTTTTCCCTCAGCTACACCAATTTTCATTTGAGAAGAATGAATATATTGAAAAAAGTCAAAGAGAGCATTTACCTTCAGAGCTTCTTCATATTCCTCTAAAGAAAAAGGGAAAGAAATGTGAATTTTCCCTGTCTCAAACAACAGATGTAAGTTTAGCACACAGTATTTAGGGACCCTTACATCAAGGAGTGTCTCCCATACCTTCTGCAAAATCTTTTAAAATAGCACTACTGAAAGAAGTTGTATGTACGGTAACAAGCAAATGTGTTCTCACCAACTCGAGACTTAACATTCCATTAATTTAGTCATTTCCAATTTGTTCCTATGGATCAAAAACTCCTTCCTCTGCAAAGAATTTGGTGCCAAATCATATCTAAAACCAAAAAATCAGAAAGCAAGCATTCTCAACTGATTCTCCAGAAACATGAAGAACAGTTGGGGTTTGTTTACTGATTTCACTTCAGTAAAGTAGCAGCTCACCTTTGCTATTCACAGAGACCTGCAAAGAGAAATAACAGTGAGTAATAGCCATGAATATATTTTTGTAATCATCTTAAAGTTAACATGCTTTCATAACTGTACTTCTACTCAGAGTTTTCAAAATACCACTCCTCCAGATATCTGTTATGGCTGCCATGTTTAATCATTAATCAGTGTTGTGGTGTTCTGAGCAGACTGTGTTCTTTATCAGATTTGCACAGCAAGGTCTCCGCCACCCCCCAGCACCCAGAGCAAGCATGGTCTCATTTACTGGAAGTAAACTGGTGCCAGTACCACTGGGTTTGCTATACAAGTACATAGAGGTTGGTTGCTTTTAATGCCTGCATTTCAGATACAAGCTAAGCCTGTCTTCTACAGGTGCTAATTTATTAATTTTGCACATAGAAGTTACTAATACAAGAAGCTATTTCATCACGACAGCATTGCATGATTCTGACCAATGTTTATTAGTATTTGATAAACATCTTTAACAGATGCCTCTATATATTTATGTAGATACATGCTGGAAAATAAGGGGAGAATCTTTCCCTGGAATGTTGCTGGAAGCATCTTGACATTCCCCCCCAAGGGAAAAAAAACCCCAACCAAACACAAAGATCCCCATTCCAGCAATTTAGTAGAGCTAAAACCCAACAAGTGAAACACAGAGTTTGCAAAAGTTATGTTCTGTTTGAGAGCTACATTCTACTCTAAATCTCCAGATAAGCAGAAAGAATATGAGAGGGTGACATTATGCCAAGCAGGAAGTTACTCAACAAGGACAACTAGAAGTAACGAATTTGTTTTCCGAGTCAGTAATCTGCTTGGAGATTACAGCATTTGCATAAAACAAGCAGAGGATTTGAGTACACCAGATCACTGAAGGGAACATATGCTAATGACAAGGGACCTACATTTTTTAAAGGAAGGAGTGTAGATTGAAGAGGCAGGGCTTTACTATGGCTGCAAACACAAATAGTTACAGCTACCTTATTCTCATAAAATTAAAAATAAAAGAGCCCCTGACCAGAGGCATCCCCCTCAGAGCACAGAACTGCTGGTTTCTTCTATGGGGTGGGAAAAAGAAAGACAGTAGCTTCTAAAAAAATATTTTAAACTCAGCATGCTACCTTAAGAGCAAAACCACAAGACTAACAGCTACTTTCTTATCAAAGGAGCAAAAAAAAGTCACCTCTGACCTGCATAACAGACACTTTTGAAGGACCCACTACAAAGTATCAAGTGACAGAAAGGTTCACACCAGTCATCCTGGTAGACCTGTGGGGAGGGTGGGGTGCCAGGTATTTTACCTCATCATTATCCTCATCAATGTATTTGATCTGAATGTTGTCCAGGTCAAAGGAAACTTTAACCTGTAAGAAAAAGAGAACACAAAACAACACAGCACTACTGATGTTTTCAGTTAATCATGATTATTAACGTAGAAAAGGGTTTTAACCCTTCTGCCCCTCCCTTCAATTTCTCAGTTTAAATAAACTGTCTTACAAAGTCCATTCTTCCAGAGCTGAACAACTCTCCACACTGCCTTGCCTCCAACCTCTACTAACCTTCTATAATGAGAAGAAAAAATTAATTTTTTTCATGTTTCACCTTCCCTAGTTAACGTTTACCCCAAAATAAATAATAACAAGAACCCTTTCCATTATAAGAAGACTAACTCAGGGTTAGTGAACTCAGTCATGGTAAACACTGCAATACACAAAGGCTGAAGCCAACAATCACCAAATGCTTTTACATTAAAAAACACCAAGAAAACAGTTCACAAAACCATTTTTCCAAAAACTTATTTGTGTTTTGAGAAATTAGGATTAATTTAACTACTAAAAAGAGCTAAATATCTCATTCTACTACTCACTGGTTGATGCAGTGTACATGTGAACATATAAACCGTTGCAGGGATCATAATTAGGAGAATAAAGCTGAGCAGCTATTTCATATTTTGCATTAATAGGGCAGAACAAGGAGCATCAAATAAGCCATAGATGAAGGCAAGTGCTTCCCTATGTTGAATAACATTCTTTGACGCTCACATGCATTTTTATATCATTTACCTACACAAGCTGCATTTTTCTTGACAGAAACTCTGAAAAACTGACACATTTGAGACACGTTCTGTTTGCCTGGACCTAAAAGAAGAATACTAGCAGTCTCAGAAGACAGCAGATGGCTGGGACTTACATAGCACCAGAGCCCAGTGACATAGCTACATGCATTCTGCAATGACTGTGCCACAGGCAGATTCTTCTAGTGATATGTCCCAAATTAATTTTGCAACTGCAGCAAAAGAATCAACTCAGCTTGTGAAGAAGAAACTGTGGTCTGTATATACATTGGTCCTCTGCATACCATCTATATACCACAGATTGGTCCCCTAAAACTCAAGCTAGAACCAGACATCAGTTTATCCCTTATACACACCAGACGTGTTTAATGATACATTAAAACAGCAAAGACACAGCTTAACTGATACTACCTTAAAAGAGTGATTCACACAACATAGTGCAGACACCCAGTGGTACTACCAAGGTTAGAGAAACATCGTAATAGAACACCACACCTTGAACAAACACACCCTCATTCTCAGACTACTTCAGATTTAAGGACAACACCATGCCTACAGAGCAATCTGCTTCCAGCTTTGATACAGAATTCTGACTAGTTCAGACATTCCCGCACGGTCTACTTGCCACCAAGTATTTTAAGCCTGAACTCACACCTTTTCTAGAAAACTGAAATATGAGTGAAAATGATGCAGTGCAAACTTTGAGTAATTCACAATGCAAGAACCTCCTACAAGGCACAGTAGAATACCTTATATATAAAGCACTGAAAGAAACAAAATACTCTTACAATGCAGCTTTGAGAGTAAACAAAAAAGACAGAACAGTTATTACAGAATAAAGAAAATTAATCATCACAGCTTCATCATAACCAAGAGAATCCTTACTACACAATTTCAACCTCAGCCAAAAGAGGAATTTTCACTAAATAGCACTGGAAATAAACAACCAAACAAAAACTTTTCAATATACCAAGTGTACGACATACAGACCTTCATAAGCAATCTGTGATCCAGGCGTGCGATTGGCTGCTGGGGGCGGCGCGTCCCGGCGATGGAAAGGGCGCGAAATGCGCCGCTGCGGGGCGGCCGCTGAGGGTGCGTGAGCGCCTCTGGGTCGGGCGAGCGGTTCTGGCTCCGGCCGCCGCCGCTGCCTTCTGTCCCCGCCTTGCAGCGTCCTGGTGAGTCGTACCAGCGGTGACCGCCTCACCGTGCGGTGGCGGGACGTTGGGTCCGGGTGGCCGGAGCGCGGTGAGCTGGGTGCTGGGCCGCTTCGATTCGGCCTGTTGATGGGCCTCGCTGCAGGGCCTGTTCCTGTGCCTGAGCTGCCGCCGAGTAAAGGTCAAATGGTTTCTTTTCGTGTTCAGATTTGTGATGCTTGCTGTAGCGTCTTACCTGTGCTGCCTGGTGTCGGCAGTTCCCGGGGTGCTTAGCATAAGCATGTCTGCTGTCTACTTAACATCCTTTTTCACTTAAAAAAAAAAAAAAAAATTCGCTGCTATGCTTGTGCATACTCTTGCGGAGTTTCTGCTGAATGCATTTTGTGTAAACCGTTTCAGGCTGCCCGTTTGACTACAAGAGACTTGAGAGGTTTTAACTGTAAACATCTAGAGTAAGAACTCCACCAGTGCTGTAAAACCAAACTCAAGAAATAGTAGCAAAGTGTTCAGTGCTGTTTAGCATATTATAGAAAACCTCTCCACAGGTGCAAACATCATCATGGGGTGCAACAGATCACAAAGTTGATTACTTGTGTTTTTCTGTAGAGTGTTTTTGGATGTGAAGGATGGACTTCTCAGTGATTGCTATTGGAGAGGTACAAAATGTGCTTTCAGCTATGCAGAAGAATTTGGAGTGCCCAATATGGTATGCCAGGAGAATAATATGAACTCTATATTAGAGTAGTTAATGAGTCTTCGGTTTTTATTCTCTCTCTTTTCTGTTCTTTTTCAATGCTTTGTTAGTTCTATGGGTTATCAGACAGCAAAAAGAATTGTGTTTTAAGACTAAGTATATTTCTGGTTTGTAAGGCTTAAGTGAGAAAGTAAGACAGAACTTGTATTTTGCTCTTATATTCTAGTGAATTTTGCTTTTCTATTACAACCTAAATGTGTCAGTCCTCTATCCAGTTATAAAAAAAAAGTAGCTGATTGGATTAGTTTTGTTTTTAAAGCAGCTTGGTTCTTTGCCTCTAAAAGGTGAGGTCTGTAGTTCATTAATGCAAACAAATGCTGAAATAGCATAGACTTTAAGTTCAGAAAAGTCACTATTTATGAATCTTATTTTGTTGCTCTTATTTTATATGTAACTTCTATGTTCTTTTTTTCCTGCCTTTTTCTTTTGGTAGCTTGGATGTGATAGAAGAGCCAGTTTCAACAAAATGTGATCACATATTTTGTAGGTAGGTTTGAAACCTTGTAATTGCAATGCTTAGTCAATCTGCTTCTATCTTCTACGTATACTTCTTTAGTGCTAGTGATGTATGCTGTGTTTTGGTAATTTAATGTGTAGCAATTTTAGGGGAAAAGTCAATTCTGAATAAAAAATAACTGCAGCTTCACAAATGTATCAAAGGGGATTGATTAACACCAGAACAAGAATACAGGTATTCAGCTTGATAATGAAGGATTTCTATGAAGTAGTGCATGCCCAGGCTCAGTTTTTAAGAAAATAAAATCCTCCCTTTTGTTACCATTGTGACTACTCTTTTTTTCCTAGGTTCTGCATGTTCAAACTCCTCAGCAAAAAGAAAAAAGGTGTGGTACAGTGTCCTCTGTGTAAGACAGAAGTTACCAAGAGGTAATGCATTTTTGCAAGTGGGCTTGAGGATGAGAGGTTTGAAATATAAGGAAAAATTAATCATTGTCTTCAAGAAGTCTTAGCAGAAGCCTGGAACAAACAAGAAAAAGTGACATAAACTGTTGGTTTCTAAAGGAATAGCTCTTCAATGCCTTATTTTCAAGTGGTCACAGGTGATGATGCCATTCTTAGCAGATGTCTGTGCTATCAAGTATAGACTGTTATTCATCCTTACAACTACTTTCTCAGTGCTATGCCTATGTGAGGAAAAATATGAGATTTTCACTTTGTGGTAGTTTTAATTCTTGTAGTAATGGTTGTTTTAGAGAACTGTGTTATTCCCTGGCACAATTTCTAATTGTCTCATCTTCCACTTCAGTTTTACTCCTTTTCTTGTTGGACCTAATTCTTGGACAACTATTAATAGTTGACCCATACATTTGTCTTAAAACAACTCATGTGATGATGTTATTTCAGAAGTCTGAAAGAAAATTCCAGATTTAAGCAACTAATTGAAGGATTACTAGAAACTATCCATGCGTTTGAGCTTGACACTGGAGTAAAGTGTAAGTGTTGTGAATGCATACCTCCCCACTTATTTTAAAAAAAGGTTTTGACATTTGTATCATCATTATTTGTAGGGTATCTCATTTACTGCGCAGCACTCAATATGGGGAAGTCTTTCTTGGATGTAGAAGCATAAGTTCCATTAAGTGCCCATAGTTCATAAAATAATCTCTTGAACAGTTTTAAGGGTTTAAACTGCATTTTATGACTTCAACCAGTCTTATTTTTAGTTTCTGAAATATGGCTCAATGTGCATCAAATAATTTTTATGTGGCAAAGTCCTGTTCTTGCCACCCTTACAGCTTTAACTTCTCAGTCTTAGAGCCTGAATGAGCAAGTGTTATAACAGTGTGTGTTAACTTGTGCCGTTCAGATATCTATCTATCTATCTATCTATCTATCTATCTATCTATCTATCTATCTATCTATCTCCTTTTGGAACCCAAATTTATCTGTTCTAGTACTTGGTGCCTTGTGAAGTATTGGCAAGTCAGACATACGCTTGCTTATGTTATGGAAAACAATATATTGTTGGTGGGGGGTGGGGGGTGGTTGGTGGGTTTTGTTTTTTTTAAACTAGACTTTCTTTTCAAATTCTTTTCAAATTGTTCAGTCATTCTAAATTCACTAATATTAGATCCTGGCTTTGCTAGATTATCTGTAGAAGCAAAATTGATTGGGAAAATGAGTTGGCAAGATCAAGATTTTATTTAATACTTGAAGACTACTTATAGAGAACAGTCAGACTAATAATTTGATCAGATGTCTGTCTTTGATAATTGTATTTTAGCTGTATGTGTGCTAGTTGCATAGGGTTTATGCAAGGCTATTTTATTAATATATCATGCCTGTTGTCATGCTCACTGTAAGAAGATATTTTTGCTTTTTTCCTGTTGACATTTTTCAGTTTTAAACAGTCATCACTTTCCTAAAACATCCACTGAAGCCACTGCTGCTGAGTTCCTGTGTAAAGAAGGTTCTGTCATCCAAAGTAAGGGCTTCAGAAACAGGAAAAAAAGTGCTAAAGAAAATGGACAAGAAAACTGCATCTTGGTATTTTTTTTCTCCAGTTTATTTTTGTGGATTGCTTAGTGTTTTATTAATACTTTTCTGAAATAGCTTACTGTTACCAATCACTATTCCTTTCTGTTCTCCTCTCGGCAGGAAGCTAATGTGGATATGCAGCTTACAGATACTGGGGTCAGAAGGTGTTCCCTAAGAAACAAAACCCAGAAATGTCGCTCTGAGAAGGGGATTTATATAGAGCTTGGTAAGATCTGTTGTATATCCACACTAGTTGAGTGTATGTGTAATGCTTGCAAAGTAGTGAGAGGTGATGAAGTTCAAAATCTTTATTAACACCAATTCCTCCTTAACATCCAAAATTAAAACAATGGACAATTACAAGTTGGTAAATCAAAGGGGCTTTTATCTTATTTATTATATTGTAGGAAACAATGCTGCTGTAGCAAACCTTTAAGGTTCAGTGTATAAGATCCAAAGAAGAGAAGATGCTTGCAGATGTGAAAAAAGCTACGGTTGTTATAACTAGTAACTGCTGTTTTTTAAAAAATACTAAGCTTTGTCACCAACGCTTGAGGCTCTAGTGAATAACCAGAGATAAGAATGAAATCTAATTGAGAAAAGAATACTTCATTTCTTTCTATCTTAGCTTTTCAGAACTTCCTTTTTATCTGGTGCCCACTGCTGTGAGAAACAAGATAGATGCTGTGCATAGTTTATTTTCTCCCTGTTCCTTCGAGGAAGGAATTGCTCCTTTTAACAGATAGTGTTCATTGCTTCCCTTTTTTCCTTATTTCTTCTGCCAATATCAATCAAAGGATCCGAGTCAGATATTCAGATATATTTCTCTGACTTCTGGTTCAAAAGTCTAAATCCTAGCAACTGTTTCATGTATAAATTTAGAAATTAGAAACTAACTCTTAGCTAATTAATTCTTAGTAGCTCTCTGTTACCAGTCACTGTATTTAAACAGAATTTTATGCTGGAGCTGTGCAGATACTTAAACATAGAAGTCGTTATAATTAGGTAAAAGACTGCACAGTTGAAGTTGATTTCATCTGATAAAAGTTGAAAGCTTCTATCTCTAGAGAGAACTAAGCATGCATGGTTCTGTGATAATAGACACTGTATCTGGCAAGCACCTTTCTAAACCATTTCTACTGCAGTAACAGCTGATTTGTTTCTAGGCTCTGATTCATCTGAAGAGCTTTTGAAACAGGCAAACAATACTGGGTAAGTAAAGGTGATTTAAGGAATTCATATTTTCTAAAGACAGTAGCTGAGTGTTCTCATCCCTATGTCTTAGTTTCTTTGCATAAGACTGATAGAGTTATTCAAGCTGACAAGTAATTTTCAACTTCGAGGGCATCAGGGTAGAATGGGTAGCTGATTCCCATCAGTTTGTCATATAATAAGCTTTAAAGCTGTTTTCTAAATGTTTTGTTGCTTACACAGACATTAGATCTTCAAGAGAAAAGCACATATCTATGCTTTAGAAACTAAATGTAAAATTCAGAAATGTGGGAGGGGTTCTTAGTTGTGGTGAGTGTTGATCATACAGCCTGACTTCTCCAAAACACTTCCAGAGCAAAAAGGGAAAATGTTCTTCTATTAGGTCTATTCTCATTTTCTCTGATGAAAGTAGATTTCCCTTCCCAACAGGTTAGAAGACAAAGTGCTTCAGATTTTGTCTAAAGAGAAGCTAGAAAGACTGGAGAGTGCTGAGAGAGAGAATGAATATTCCCGCAATACACAGCCTGGCACGCCAGGTGCTGAAGAAATAATTCTACCAAATGTCGTAGGTGTGTCTGGTTTGGTGACAAAAATTATTAAGCTGGAAAGAAAAACCACAAGTTAACATTTTGATTTCACATCCCGTATGTTGTAGTTCTGTTGATGCCTACAGCTAGTGTCAGTATAATACAAGGCTACCTGTAGACTAGTTACTTAAACTGTGGGCATTCTGTGCACAGGAACAGAAGGGAAAAAAGTAACTTGATCAAAGTGCAAAACATTCTATTCTACATAAGCCATGATATCTCTAATAACACAAGTTAAGAACACTGGTAATTCATGTAAGAAATAGGATGAACATATGTCATGTACTTTCATCTTTCTCCCTTATTCTAGAGGGAGATTTGTGCAGTATAATACTATGTTTGGGGGGAAATAAGAACAGTTCTCTTAAAACAAAGGAGCCATTAAGCTAGTCATTGTTCTTGTGGATGTAAAATAGGGCTTAATAATTTATAATACCTATAAATCTTCAGGTGAAAGTGATTTCTCGAAGGAAAGCTTGAGCAAGAAAAGCACTCGCAGCATTGATGAACATGCCAAACCTGGCCAAGTGAATGTGACTGAAAACCAGAGTTCTCCTTTAAATGTTCTTGGTGTAGACCTGCTCACAGAGCAGTGTGATGGAGCAGGTAGTGCCAGTCCCTTAAGGAATGGGGACACATCTTTCTTTAAGAACACAGAAGGAATGGGTGCAGAGCAAACTCAATGCAATAGTGAAAGCAAAGAGTTTGACTTAAAAGGTAGCTCAGAGTGCAGTTTGGATAAAAGCAAGGAAATGGATATTATTGCACAAAATGTAAAAGCTGCGGAAATGTATGAACCTGAGAGTGATTCTCTCTGTGAAAAGGAACTTCCTCTGGAGAAACTACTTCAGCCAGAGACGCCTCACTGTGGTACCATGAATCAGGTTTCTAGGAAGAGACTGAAGCGAAGCATTCAGAAAGTCAATGAATGGTTTTCAAAAAGCGACGACATTCTGTCTTCCAGTTCTTCCCAGGATGATTCTGCTGGAGCAACTGATGTTTCAGGTGAAGAAGATCCATGTTTATCAGATAAAGATTCCTGTATTTCAGAGAAGACTGACCCTATGGTAGATTCCATGGCAATTGCAGTGGTTGAAGGAAACAAGAGATGGTCAAAAGAAACAGCAGATAGGATTGAAGACAAAATATTTGGGAAAACATACAAGAGAGGGAGGAAGTCAAATCACCCTATTATCTTGAGAGACATTTTACCTACTACAAAAAAGGAAGATGTGGCTGCTTATGACAAGTGCTTGAATAATTCCAGTAAAGATGGACTGAAACGAAAAAGGAAGTCTTCCTATGTCCTGCAACCTGAGGATTTCATTAACAAAAAAGTTACAGAAGAGGCAGATGGGTGCCCTCAAAGTGTTAACCTTGGAGATGCAGAAAAGAAAAGATGTGATGAAAGTTCTGCTGTTAATGAGAGTCAGGTCTCTGAAAATAGAGTGGATAGTACACCAGCAGAACTTGAGGAAGGAGGAGGATCCATATGGAAAACAGCTACTGAAAAGGTGGCTGGCAAGCACTGTGATGGGGAGCTGGAACTGAGTCACTGTGATCAGAAAAGCACTAAGAAAGGTTCTGCAGCAAAAAGATGCAGACGTTCTGCTAGAAGCATGTGTGTTCTACAGCTAGTGGATAGAAACTCTCTTTCCCCTGACCCAGAAGAGCCACAGATTGACAGTTATCCAAGCAGTGGGGAACCAAGGAAAGGGGGTTCTGAGCAAAGACAAGTCAGGCGCAGCAGGAGGCTTCGGTTACTTTCTGAAGAAATTACAAAAACTGGAAAAGGAGCAGTAATTAAGGGAGTAAGAAAGTATGACAGTGATCATGAAGGATCATCCTTTGCAGTCCAGAGGAGTGTGTTAGTTCACAGTTCTGAATGCAAAGCCCTGTGTGAGCCCCCAGGTACACTGAGTTATGAGCCACTCACTAATCTAAAGGGTGATGATCTGGAAAGGAATGGAATACAGGTTAATCTAAAGAATTCATCTGACACTGCAGCAACTGGAAAAAGTCTCTTCAACCCAACATCTTCATGTCAGCATTCAAATTGTTGTTCCTTTGCACCTGATGTAGGTTCTCCAGAAGGTGAAATACTCCGCAGCCCTGTTGTCCCACAGTCTCCTTCAGTGACTTCGGTGCAAGCTGCTTCCCACCCAGCTGAAGTGGTGACTGAACCATGTGCTGCTGCTCCCCAGGACAGTGGACGCGACACACAAAATGTTCCAGGAGACTTTGGAACTGAGAAGTTGCCGATGGCTGAAAAAGTTTTGGAATTGACCAAGGAAGCTGAAGATAGCGAGTTAGACACACAGTATCTGCGGAATATATTTAGGCATTCAAAACGTCTGTCCTTTAGCCTTTATCCTACTCCCGTGAAAGCGTGTACAGGAGAGGATGCTGCTTCTGCAACTTTAAAGATATCATGTGCTGAAGGGGCAGAAAATAAGCATAGCAAATACTTAAAAACAAAAGACTTGCAAGAAGAGACTACAACTGTTGAAAGATTGAGTAGAGTTTGTGAGAAAGAGAAGCTTAAGACACATGAATCTGCTTGTGTTAATCCCTTGACTTGCTTTGTCAGCAACACTGACCGTATGTGCACTGGGGAACATCGGGAAGGTGTTTCACAGGTTGCAAGTCAAGGGACTCTGACAGCAGTAAGAACGGGTACTGCTAAGGCTGAAAGCAACAACAAATTGCACAACAAATCGCAAAAAGGAGAGCAAGGAAACAAAGACACAGTGTCAGCTGATGTAGGGATAGAATGTGAGCTGAGACAGAATCCAGCCAAAAGTAATAGAAGCCAGAGTGATCAGAGTAACATGGAAGAGAACACTTTCAAGAGAACTGATTTAAACACAGGTGATGAAATATGCTTTGGTTCAGAAAACGATCAAGGAGGAAGGGCCAAAATTGTTGACAGCAAAGGACCAATACTGCATTTTCAGTCCAGATCAGTGATTTGTTCTGTGACTTGTCAGCAAAAGCCTGCTGAATTCAGCCGTGAAGTCCTTTTGAAAAAAATTAGCAGAAGAGAAAGAAAAGGGGATGAAGAACAAGCAACCCAAGCTGGTAGCACAGGGATGCCTGAGTGTTTAGCCACAGAGGCTCTAGAAGAGCCTCTTAAAGGGAACAGTGATTTTACAGGTTTGTCTGAAACCTCTGATGGCTTACTGTGCTCTGATGAGATCGAAGAGAACACCAGCTTTTCTGAAATTGATAGGAGAGAGAGATCTGCTGTGTTTGTAAGAGGATGTGACAATGCCCTGGTAAAAGAACCAAACAATAGAGATGTTAGTTCTAAGCCAAGATCTCAAGGTATTCAAAGATCTCGAAGGAGAGCGCGGAAACTGCAATCTTCAGATGAAGAATCTAGTGAGGATGAAGATTTCCCATGTTTTCAGACAATGCTCAGCAAATCAGTAAGCACGCCATTGCAGATAAATAAACAAGTGACATCTGTGAAAGAGTCTTCAGTAAGTCCCATCACATCACCTCACAGTGGAAGTGATGATGACAATGTGCAGGAAATGCCTGAAGCTGCCCTAAGTAACAGGTGTGTTTCACCAAACGAGGGGTCAGAACACTCGGTCAACTTATTTTCTTCCCAGTCCAACTTGTCTGAAGAATCAGTTGATGGAGCACAAGAGCTGGAGAAATCTTCGATACAAATTCATACATGCAGACAAGTGAGCAGTGTGAATGAGGGTGAAGAAACATCTCAAAGTTGTAATGGAGGTCTGAAGAGAAGCAAAACTAACTTCAGAGATGAATGCCAAGAAGACCCAACCATGGGAGCCAACCAAGGTACAAACCAAGATTTTAATCTCTGCAGCTGTATTTGTAATGTCATTGCACTTAAGGTTTTGGTGTTTGCATGGGAACTTTGTTCTGCATTTGCTCTTTTAAAGGAATGTGTCTGCCCTAAACAATCAAACAAAAACCCCTCAGTGGTTTATTTCCTGAAAATAAAGTTCTTCCAGTGTTCTCTGTTTGGAGCAAAACTGGATAGACTGGGCACCAGAGCCCGCACTGAGTGAGTTTGGGAATTAGTTTGAGTGAAATGCAGCTGTCTTACTGCAGTGTGATACTTGTGTCTATCAGCAAAATTTCATAAAGCCTACCTAAGCTGTCTCCCCAGATGGTTTGTTGAAATTGGCTGTAGAATTCTGTAGTGCTTGTTTTGACTTTTTTGATTTTCATAAATATTTAGGACTCTTTCATCACTACTGAAATGCTTTGAGTTCTGTTGACTTTGCCATATGCGTGACATGGTATTCTTCAAAATGTTCACTTAAAGTAGATCTGTGCTTTTAACTTAAGTGCTTCCAAAACTTGTGGCTTTACCATCATAGCTAACAGTTGGCTAAAAGGTCTGTGTGGTAAGAGATGATGGATAATGTTTGTTGGGGTTTTGGTGATTTCTTTCTTTAAGTTTTTTCTTCCATCTTCAAGGTGAAGCATCTGGATATGACAGTGAAACAAGTTATGTAGAAGATTCATGTGGACCGTTCTCTCAGGGTGAAATTCTTACCACACAGGTGAGATCATGCACTAAATTCTAACAGTAGTTTGTGTTCTAGGGTACAAGCAAGTGCATGAAAGCTGTGAAGTCAATGCAGTGGGAGACTGCTTTTATCATAATTCTTTGTGTCGGTAGATGACTTCCAAGAGCATAATTGATGAAGAATTGTCCAACTTTGCCTTCCATGGTAACACTGCATGCTAATGGCCATAACTCGTTATGTGGTATTGGTTACAGTGCTTAATTGTGGGAGATGCTAGTTAATGGATCTCCATATTTGACCAATGCTGGAAACTCCAGCCTCCTGTATTTAAAAACTTCATTGATAGGAATTTATAGTGATTGGTGATAAGGGTTGGATTTGCTGCATTGATATTTAGAAGCATGGAGACTTGCCTTCTAAGAGTAAAGATTAAATCAAATCCTTCCATATTAGAATAGTTTAGATAAAAGACCCAACAGGCAATATCCGATGAAAGGCGTGTTTAGCACGGTGTTTTCTTTACTATTAATTTCCTGATTACTGCCTAATGGCATGACTTTATGGGTGATTGATGTGGGAGCTTTTTGTTTGGGGATTTTTTTGTGTGTTTTGGTTTTGGAGTTTTGCTTTGTTTGGTGGTTTTTGTTGGGCTGCATTTTTTGTTGTCTAACTTGAAGGCAGGTCTTATGCCGAATCTCTCTTCAGCATTAACAGCGCTATGGATTTTAATGTATGTCAAAGAAAATTGAATTTCATTTCTGTGTTTCATGGCTGGTTCTTCTGTTTACCGCATCAGTGTAAAATATTGTAGCTTCATTGATAGAGATACTAGGATGTTCTAGGGTTGAATGGAATAGTGGCAGTATGAATTGGTGGGGAGTTTTGTTTGTTGTGTGGTGGGGCCACAATACTACAACATTGATTCAGTGACGAGGAAGTTCCCTGTGGTGCCAGTGCTAGAGCGGCGAGTAGTGTTAGTGCTGTGGAAACCTTGTTCTGTGTGGTGAAGGTTTCAGGTTTTTGAAAGGGTCCTTTAATAGAGGGTATTGTAATTTTTGAGAAAGTAAGGAAGAGTAGGATTAAATATTTCATTCCTTTTAAACAATTTCTGGGGCTTTCAGTAATGGTGGAAAGTGCAGAGGCTCAATACTTGATGTTCATTATTGAATTTTAAGTGGCTAATGCAAACTAATGCAGTTGGGACAAAACACCTTTTAAGAAATCTTTGCAGAAGTTTTTTCTTGACTGATTAAACTCTGAGCTGTCTAAACTGAAGTGATTTGAACAGTAAAATGACTGGTTGTTCGGGTTTTTGCTTTTGACACAGGGTGTGTGCATTATTTATGACAGTAAAAGCACCACCTCTTGAACATGGGGTAAAAAATGATTCAAAGTAACTTTACTGTTTCTAATTTTCAAGTGCTTGTTAAAGAAATTAATCTTACTGTTTAAAACTGAGATTGCTAATGTTGGCACACCTGTGTATCCTTTGCAGCAGAAGAATGCTATGCAAAGTAACTTAAAAAAACTTCAGCAAGAAATGGCTGAACTTGAAGCAGTGCTAAAGCAGCATGGAAGTCAGGCCTGTGAATTTTTACCTATCCCGTCCAGTAGTGAAGGAACACTTGGAATGGAACAAATGAGACAAGAGAGAGGTAAATAGCAGTGACAACCTTTCCCAGCTTTCTTACAAACAGTTGTGTGACTTTTACTAGTTCTTTTTCCCTCTACCACAAATTATAGTGTTAATTTAAAATTGGTATGCTAGCAGAATTTTACCTAAATTCAGCTGTTCAGTGCAATGTTTTATTATAACTTAGGTACTACACTTAGCCTAAGAAGACTTCTCTTACAGATATGTGTGAGATTACATAGTGTAAATGTCTAAATGGTTTGAGTAGGCTTGTGGCTTGGCAGTACTAACCCATGTTGCTGTTCTAGCTGTACTCTTGTTTTCTTTCACTGGAATGGGTAAGGGACTGGCAGAGTGGCTGAACACCCAGAAGGACTTGGCCTCTATTGCTGTGGTAGAAATTGTCCTTTGGCTATCAAGGAACAAGACAGAAACTGGTTAGGTATGTGCTGTGTCAAAAGTAATCTGGTATAGGAGAATACCTATACTGGTGTGTAAACCCCTGATCAGGACAGGAACAGAGTTTCTAGCTGGAAAGTACACAAGCCAGCAAATAAATGGTGAATAATACTTCAGAAAGTGCTGAAGCCTTACTGGATGTTGAGGATAAAGCGAGTTACTGCCAGCTATGTGAGCAATAGTGAGAGGGCTTTATTTAAGGTTTTTCTTTAAGGCAAGACAGCCATTGAGATGACTGTTCTGACAACTGATCTGCAACAGAGCATAGAGCATTCTTTGAACAAAGCCTACGGTAAGTAGAGATACTCACTGTTGAACTTCTCAGTGTTCTAAAAAGGCACCTAATGCTGATTTTAAAGATTTCCAAAGACGTAATGCTTGTTGAACTCTTAGATAAAATGTACCAGTGCTTTTTTATCCTCCTTGCTGCTAAAGATTTATTTCTAATTCTGTGGTCTTGTTTCAGTCAGTTATCTTTATTTTCTGAGCGCAGTTAGAATAACTTGACATCCTGGAATTCAAAGTCACTTAGTGTGTTATCATGCCTTTACTGTGTATGGCTTTCACTATGGAGTCTTTTTTATCTGAATTCAAAGGCTTTCATCACTACTGTGGCTGCCAGTTAAATATCAAAATGATCTGTAGATTGCTTGTGATCTCCTAAATGAAGGCATTGTACAGTGTGAGGTATAAGACCTTTAGATTAACCTCTTAGTCAGCCAGTATGGTGCAGCTATACCAATAGGTCTTCTGCCTCCAAGTTGGTTTTTGTTGTCAGTGTAGTCTTTCTGCATCACACAGCTCCTTCATGGTGAAAAGGGAGCTGAGCAGAGAAGTGGAGAGGCTGAGCCTTTGAAACGTACACAGTGGTTTGTTCAATTCATTGCAAAATCTGCAGTAACAGCATCCTTCCCTGCTGTGGCTGCTGCTTCCATACCTGGATTCCTGACAGGAAAGTGGGACTGCTTATTGTGAGAGAAACTCCCTGTAGTCCTCTCTGTATTTTGTGTTACTGATTTAACAGCTGCGCTGTGCTTTCAGCCTGCTCTCTATCTCATCTTTGGGTCCTCCTGAGCCATTATAACACTAACAGTATACTAACACTGACTGGTTGTGCTTGGATAACAATGCTTGCTGGATGGTGTGGCACTCAACCTCACTAGGGTTTGAGAATGTCCTCTCATAGACAAGACTGAAATGTGACATTTCTAGGCCCGGCAGGCCAGAGTCATAACTATAGACTGCTTGGATATTGCCAGCAAACTGATGATTAGTTTCTTATAGATGCAAAAACTAATTAAAATATTTCATTAATACAATGCCCGTTTACATTGTTATGCTAGAATATGGGTTTCTGACTTGTAAAAATTTAAACTGATTGGACTCATTGGCAGTTTGATAAAAATTAAAGGCACCTTTAGCTAGCAAATAAATGCCTCTACTGCTTGTGAACAGAGATATGGTATGTATTGGGATCTGTAAACAAATTGCACTAAATAGTGTAAACTTGCCTTCAGCCTATTTTATATCCCCTTTTTTCCACCTAATACATCCATATCTAACGTCTTAGTTTTGTGGATGATTTAATATGTGAACTAAAATGTAGCTTTTATCTATGCTTCAAATTTCTCAGTATTTTGTGTAGATTTCTCTTTAGGAACACTTGCCTCTCTAAAGTGTATCTGGATTGAGATTTTAGAGAATGTTTGACTTCTTACCTGAAGAAGCAATTAATTAAGAACAGTTGCTTTTATTTTGCTTGTTTAAGAACTTTTTCTTTTTTTAAAGGAGCAGAGTCAACCTCAGAGGGAAATGTTGAAAAACACAAATGCAGCAGTTCAAAGGGATTTTCAGCCAATGATTTCCATGTTATATCAAGTGATTCTCTCAACAGTAAAATTAAAGAGTTAGAAAGGTAAACATTTTTGTTTTATTTCTAATCTTGTATTTTAAAAAGGAGGGGAAAAAATGTGTACATAAATACCTCTTACCTTTTGTGCAATTACAGTAGCTTAGCTGCTGCTGGTTCTGACAGAAGAGTAAAAAGGTATTCAAACCAATTTCCCCCTCTCAAGGTCTCCAGAATTGTTGTTTCCACCTTCTAAATCCTGTTTGTTAAAGAGACCAGATTTGGAGAAACATCTTCAGTGTGATGGTGTTCTGAAGAGCAAAGCTTCTTCTGGGAAGATAAAACCTGTGCAGGAAGCAGGGCAAGACTATAGTCACTGTCCTCTTGAAGCAGGTAACATTTAAGAGGGATCCAATACATTTTGATTTCTGCTTTTCTCCATGTTTTTACATACCAGCAAGATACAGCTTTTTCTTGTAAATCAAGGATTTTAATTCATACATTCCTGGTCAATTTTAAAAGATGCTACATCTTGTTTGGGGGTTTTTGGCAGCCCAACTGTATAGTTGCCCCTCAGGATGGGGATGGACAACATTTTGACAGTAATAGGAGCTATTATCTGTCGCATGTAGATCGGTACTTCTTGACAGATACACTGCTAAAGACTTCACAGGTATTCTAGTGTCTCAGCTATAGATAGGAAAAAGTAATGACAGAGGCAAAGGTGAAGTAATAGAGAGGAAGTGACTGCAGTGTTTACACTTAAAAGGTAGAGCAACAGCTTTCCACCAAGACTACAAGAGGGATTGTTTGAAGGAGTAATTTCTCTTTTCCTTCAGAAAACACAGATGAGCAGAAATCTGGGACCAGGCTAAACAGCACATCTGTCTTATCAAATCTCTCTGGAAATGTGACCAGGAGCCCAAGTAACTCTTCCTCCTCTGTAAGGGTGCTTAGCCCTCGAGCTGCAGAAGCAACAAATAGTTCTGTTGTAGCTCAAGATGCTAATAAAAGCTGTGCTCAAGACTGTAAATTGAAGAGAACTGTGTGTGTTCCTGTATCTGGTCTGCACAATGCAGCTGGGAAAGAAAATGCTACAAGTACAGTTGTGACTAACAGGAGAGAAATGTCAATTGTTGCATCGGGTCTGAATCAAAGTGAATATGTAAGTAGATTCCAGAAGTTTTAGAGATTGCTTGATAACTGCTGTCCCTGATTACCACTGTAGTCTTCAACATAGAGATTTAAGTACAATGGAAACAAATCTTACAGGAGTTGCAGACTTGTAATACAGCAACTCACGTCAAACTCTTTCAGTCCTAAAAATATGAAGAATGCTGCCTCTAAATGGCACTATTAAGCTTGGTGAAGTTTGAACTTTTTAAATGACTAACTGCTCTCTAGGGGGAAAACACTATTCTGAATTGCTAATAAACCTGTTTCTACAATCCATTTTGAGGAGGAGCTTTTGGCTTACAAGCTTCTGACTGAGAGCTGCTCTTTAGCCTGTTGCATACCAAAATTATTGACTTTAAAGGAAATGTATATTCTGTGTGCCAGCACCAATAAAACCATTACTTTATCTTATGTTATACTCCCGTAAAATGGAGTTGTTGGGGGTTTTAATCTAGTATGCTAGTTATTAATTTTCTTAACTCCTTTTCAGTTGGTGGTTCGGAAGTTTGCAAGAAAAACTCAGAGCACTTTATATAATCACATTACTGAAGGAACGACTCATGTCATAATGAAAACAGGTTTGTTGGGAGCGATGTGAACAAATCCTATATTTCTATACCATATAGAATATTAACTTTAGGCTAAACAACAAGCAGACAGTTCATCAATAAATTAAAATAATTTTGAGAAGGTATTAATAGTTTTCTCTATGGTAATATTTTTTGTTTAAAGTTGGGAGTTTTTCATACTGTATTTCACGAATCAGAGTGAGTATGTTTTGTTTCCTTGTGTGATTTGAAGTTAATGTTGCTGAATATTTTTTTCTCCATCTGTTTGGTCACAATTTTCAGGTGGTTACAGTTTCTAAAGAAATAGGATACAGACATTCTTGAAAATAAGATGCTATTTTTGGCTTCCTAATTCCTTGCAGGGATGATAAATGCTATTTGTTCTGAATTTTTGAAAGAAACTTATCTTAATAGAAAACTGGGACTTAACTGTATGTGTAACTGGTGGTAGCTGATAGTGAAGTCATGTTTCCATAGGAACAAAGCAGCACTACCATTTCATTGTAATGATTATTTGCATGCTTAATTAAGGTACTTCAGGTTTTTGCTCTTTAGTAGAGCTCAAAAACTCCATTATTAAAAGCTTGAAGGAACTTTATAGAAACTTCAGTACAACACTGTTACAAATTTGACTATTCTGAAACAGCATTATATTGACTTCAGAAAAGCATAATGTTCATCAGTAAAATTAAGCTACTATATTGCTGTGTCTAGGCATAGGTTACATTTAAGCTCTCTACTGAACCTACCACCTAGCTTTTAATCAACATTTTCTTAAAAAGCAAAATACTTAGAGCTAAACCCGGGTGTGTGTATGCTATATACTGTGCTTGCTTTTTGCTTCATAGAAGCACTTTTAGCTGCTGGCTTTGTATTTGGATGCGAACTAGCACATAAGCCTTTCTTGCTTCTGAAAACCAACCTAGAAAAGGAGCCAGAAAATCATGTTACTCCAAGTCTGTGGACTCAATTTTTACCTTTTTCTTCAGGAAGTGTATCATAGACACCATGACCATATGTTTTTGGAGAGGTAGATTATCTGTCTTCATACAAATACAGACAGGATAAACTGCCTTCTGAAGCTGTGCCTGGTCTGGTAGAGGAGAAGGTGGTCTTAAATGGCTGGTCATCTAAAAGCTTATGACAGTGTTAGGCACTGAATCCTACTGTTAGCATCCTCTGTTTTGACTAGTAGTCATGCTTGTTCTTGCCTCTTTACTGAATAGCTACAAAAGGTTGCAGAGGTTAGGTTGTACATGTGATTTAGCTTCTGCTCCTTTCTGTCAGTTTAGTAAAATCAGGACACTAGAATTTTGGAACCTTTCTATAGATGGTCTTGATATTTTGCTGCTGCACTTAAACTTGCTTTTACATACAAATAACCAGAGCTGGTTTTTCCACTCATGGGATAACTGAAAGGGATCTTACTGTTTGCTCTGCAGATAAGGAGCTGGTGTGTGAGCGGACACTGAAGTACTTTCTGGGTATTGCAGGAAGAAAATGGGTAGTTAGTTATCAGTGTAAGTATACCTTGTTTTGGAGCTAAATGGTCTCTGCTCTTCTACCACAAATTTACTCTTCACTTGTTACAGTAAAAAATATAAAAATCTCTTCATGTCCTGGCATCAAATGTTTTGCAGAGTTTCTTCTAAATACTTTAAAATTAAAAATAAGTAACAATTTTACTGGATAAAATGACTGTTCTGTTCTTCTTATTTAGGGGTAATTCAGTCTTTCAAAGAAGGAAGGATACTGGATGAGGTAGGTTTTTCATCTTGAGTGAAATGCCAAATGTGTAAGCAATGCTGTTACACTGACAGACCTATTAGTAACCTCCAGTATTGTGTAAACATTTAACATATGGGAATTTGACTCTGAAAACTGGGATTTTAGTTTGACAAAATGCTAAGACCAAAAGTTGCACTTAGGCTATATATATTCATTATTATTGACATAATGGGTCCCTATTATTTTCTGAAACAGGTTATGGATATATTTTTTTATAAGTGTCCCTGTGGATATTGATGGATTACACCATAGAGGAAGAGATCTATTGTTTGCTTAAGTAAATAATGTTGGAACTTAAGTATATGCCTTTGTTTTCTGTTTAAACTTTAGAATAGTCAACTAGTGAAAACTTGTTCGAGCATTTACTGCCTTTCCTAGTAAATGGCTTATTTAACATGACCCTGATTTAGGTGGATTTTTGTATTCCTGGGTAGTATTTGTATTTTTGTTCTAATATGTATTTTTTGAGAATGTTATATTAGTGACCCAGTATAGATTTCATATACCTAATGAGCAGAAATGTCCACTTTCTGGTATGGAGTCCGCATGCCCTGTTGTCAAGCCAAGGGTGAACAAGAGAAATCTTAGCCCCAGAAACACTCTATGCAGGGGTACTAAAAGGTCCTCCTGTGCTTGGGGTGAAAGGGGGAAGTTGCTGCATAACTGACTGGGAGTGCTGGAATATGGGACACCTGTTTAACACTGTCAGACACTCACATTGCTTTAAGCAAGAAGAACCTCCAGTTATAACAAAAAACAAACTTTTTTCACATAAACTGAAAATATGCAGTTGTTCTCTATACTCGTGTAGCATGTTAGACTGCATAGAAGCTTTGGAAGTTTCATGAAAGTATTGGAGAAATGAGAGTTTGAGTCAGATGTAGGCCTGGAGTTATCAGATGCAGCACTGCACTTGTTACTAATCTATATACTAAGTGAATTCCTTGAAATAAAATAGATGTTGGATATCTAGAGGTTATGTACTGGTAATGTCTGTCAAAGACTCCTCACAGTCTTGGAGTGTGCCCCTTTTATACAGCTTCCTAGACTACTATACAGTTGGGCTATAACTTTTTTTAACTTGTCTGATGCTGCAGGGGCTTCATTACTACTCTCCATTTCTCTTGAAAAGCCTTTTACTTAATTTTCTGCACTCACTTAATTGTAAGGCTTCCAGTTCTGAAAATTGACAACTTCCTGTTCTGATGCAGAACTCTGACCAGGAGAGTGTTCTCAGTTTCTAACTTCTGATTGCTTGTTCATGTTACGTTCCAGGAAGACTTTGAAGTTAGAGGAGATGTAATCAATGGGAGAAACCACCAAGGTCCTAAGAGGGCTAGACAGTCTCTGACTGAAAAGGTATGAGCACATCAGGGATGAAAATCCTGTCCTGCTGTGACTGTTTCAGTTATGTGCTATGCTAGCTGAATATCTGGAAATTCTTCCAGTTTCTCAGCTGTTCTGCATATATGGAGTTGTACAAATTAAGCATTTTTATACATGAAAGGTGAGCTCTATCAACAGCAGTGGTAGTTTGATAACCAGTCCTAGAAGTGCAATGAAATTGTCCTTTAAAGATACCATATGTACTCTGGTAACATGTTCCTTGTTTTTCAGATCTTTAAAGACTTTGAGATCTGTTGCTATGGACCTTTTACTGATATGACTACAGGTGTGTCATTTTAGTGGTGTTAAATAAACTCTTAACATAAAATACCTGGGGAGGGATTGTGTGCATTCACCAGAGTTTTACATCTGACCTTCTCCTGGATACTCTTGTACCTCTTTTACTTGGAAACTTTCAAGATGCCTACATGAGGTATAGTGTAGGTAAAGAATTTAATCCAGGTCTGTCTCCAGATAGAATGGAAAGTGTTCTGACTGTCCTCAGAGAACTGCCCTGGCAATTTTGTGGTATTTCAAAACAGGCCTTTTATCTAGTTTATCTCCAATTCTCTAGCAATGAAGGAAAAGTGTTAATATACTATCTGGTAATTGCTTTAGATGCTATTGAACACTTGTATTTGAGCTTTTTTCTTCTGTCTTACTAAACAGTTCTGAAGTATTATTTTTCTAGCAGTTGACACATCCTCAGTGTAGTCATCTCTCTCTAGCAGCAGATGTTAAAAGTGAAGCACACAACCAAGTCAGAAGTTTGTATTCAAAGAAAAAGCTGGGCAGGATAGCTTTTTGTTAGCTTAAAGTTGAATTAAAGTAGATGCTTTGAAAATTTAAGCTAGAATTTTCCTACTTAAAATACTTGTACCTTTCTTCCTGTTCTTGTGGCTTATTCAGCAGGTACTTTCTGATTTGTCCAATATTAACTTGATTTTGACTGGGTAAAATATCCTCACATCTCTTGACATTTACAGTAATTGCTACAGAGGATGCAGTGCTTTCACCTGCTGCAGTGATCATCAATTATGGCTCTTATACTTGAGAGACTTATTTATCATCTTCACTATGAATTCAACAAATTGGTGGAAATTAAATACTTTGGCTACTGTTGTTAATGAGATAATCACAGTTCTAACTTCTGTGTTTTAATTTTATGTCTTACTTCCTTATAAGATGAAATAGACTGTTAGTGACTTTCTCTTTAAGTTCTGGGCATGAGGTGTTTTGCTCTTTCATTTTTTTTGTTTTGTTTTTTCTAGTCCTGACTAGAGGGTGAGAGAAGCAGGTGAGTTGATGTTCCTCAGCAGGCTAGAAAGTGAAAGGACTTACTGTCTACTAAGGCTTACCTTTCTCTCAAATGATGATAGTTTATATCTTGGAACAAACACGTGAGGGCTTAGGGAATAGTATCAGTTCCAATGTGATATAAAGCACTGAAGTAATAGAGTGTTTATCTGACTTCTCCAGAACACCTAGAATGGATGGTGGAGCTTTGTGGTGCCTCTGTTGTGAAGCAACTTCATCTGTTCACACACCCAACAGTAAGTGTTAATGTGTTACGCTTCACACAGTGAGCAGTCCACAGTTAGATAATACACAAGTGTTGGAAGATGATGGGGCCTTCGTGGGCTTGTCAAAGACTTGTGCATGCAGGTGTGGTAGAGCTGCACGGCAGCAGTTCTTGTTCTAGGCTCTGGCCACACTGCATATTTGAGGGCAGACTAACTTCTTGTGAAAACTGATCAGAGTACTCGAGGCCAAGATAGCTCATCTCTTGAAATCAGCACTGTGCCTCACTTCCCAACACAAAAAGCCTTTAGTGCCTTAACTTAGTCACAGCATTCCTGGAGAGAAACCACCAAAATTTTAGGAGCTAATGTCTGTCTTCCTCTACTGCCACTTCTGAAACTCCTCTCCAAAGTGATGCTCTGAAGCAGAGTTAGCTCAGTTATTGCTCTCTGCAGATAGGGGTGAGAGTAATTTAATGAATCAGATAACAGAAGCATTATTATTTTCTTCTCTTGAAATCCTAGAGTTCTACTGCTGTCGTGGTTGTGCAGCCAGATGCTTGGATGGAAAACACAGACTATAGAGGTAAAATGACACAGTCATGGACTGGTTTGTGGTACACATTGAGTGTCTTTATCACCTCAGTCCTTTCAATAGCTAGGTAGCAGGTTTGTTGAGGAGTCAAAATCCTGCTGCATCTGGAGATGGAGGTATGTCTTGGAAGAAAAATCTGGAGGGACAAGGTCTGTTATCACAAGAATCAGCAATAGAGTCTGAAAAGGTAGGCTGGCAGGTGAATCCTATTCTGGGCTCAGCTGTCCTACCTATCATCAGCTATGCAGAAACTTTTCTGGTTGGATGGGGAACTAGTAAGATTTAGCAGAAGGTCTCAAATGAGACAAGATTCTCTTGGTCTGGAAAGAATATCTAGCTACAAAGCATTAATTGATACAGCTTTTCATTTTTCCCCCCACCTTTTTTGATCGAAATGCTCCAGAGAAACCGTGAGACTTGGGAAGTGCAAGTGTTCCAGACTAACTTCTAAATGAGGTAGTGGGAGTTAGAGCATGAATGGGAGCTAGTTAGTCTACAGTGAAGTTCAACACAAAAGAAGCAGGAGGACGGTATAACAACAACAGCTGTTCCCATGGCACTGGAAAATGAGAAAATAAAGATCCTGAAACTGTAAAGAATAGTCTGGGAGCACTTCAGTAATTTTGTTTCTTCTCTCTTAATGAGACTTACTGCTTGTCACATACTTGGTGTGCCTGAGCAGACAGGAGCTTGAGGCTCTGTCACTGAGGCCCTAAATTAAAAGATAACAAGCACTTCACTCCTTGCTTTTAGTGTTTATTCTGTGGTGTTGAAAACTTCCTGCCTGACCATTTGCCAGACAGTATTACCTGGATTGTTAAAAGGAGTAGTAGTGCCACTTCAGTTTTTACTCTGGGTTTTGTAAGGCCTTTAAAATGTCAAAGATAAAGCAGATAGCTTAGTCTGAAAGCTCACCTTAAGCTTGCTTTGACTCATTGCTAACAGTTTCATTGTTTGTGTCTTTGTCTTACAGAAATCCAGCAAAAGGACAATGTTGCCATGGTGACTCGAGAGTGGGTATTAGACAGTGTTGCTTGCTATGAGTGCCAGGAGTTGGAAGCTTACCTTGTGTCCTGAGGGTGATCTGCAGTTCTTTTCCCATTACTCAGAAATTCTCATCAGTGCTGATAGCTTAGTAATTATTTTAAGGACTGAGAATTTTTAAGTCACTTCTACAGAGATTATGTGCATGTAGTGTTCTTGTTCAGAGTAAAATAACTATATTTTTATTAAAAAATTACTTAAACAACACTACCATATAGAGAGGAATTACCAGCTGTTCTTTAAAGATTAAGATTTCTCATTTCAAAATAGTCCTTTAATGTAAAACAAAGTTTTAAAAGTTAAAAAATTTAGCACATGGTCTCCTCAAGGAGATGGTGATGTGTTATTTACCATTGCAGTCAGTTCCCGTTTATGTACTCGAGGACATTTGGGAGACAGTCATTTAAAAGAGTAATATTGGGCTCAAGGCTTGAATTAGAATGTATTTGCACTCCTGAGTAACCTCCATCCTTTCATTTTGGATAAATAACCCACCCGGAATAATAAGGGTGTATACCAGTACAATGGAATATTATTTTGTAATTACAAACACATTGGCCTGGTTAATCTTAAGACGTGGATTATAGTTGTGTTGAAAACTATACAAACAGCTCTTCTGTTGCGTATAAAAGCGTCAACTTGCATTAACCAGAAGAATTATCTGCAAGTACAGCCCCTGAAAAGCCAACACTTTAATTTCAGTATAAATCAATCCTTAAAACCACAGGCCTGTACCAGTGTGGTGTCAATCTTATTTCTGAGAAGTGTATGTGGCACCTATGGAGAGATAATAAACAGATGCACTTTAGTATCCCAGTGACCTATAATAAGTTCCCTAAGAATCTGCTTCTAATAGTCCCTGCCTGCAAAATGAGATTGCAAAGAAAATTGCTTTTTATGGAAGAAAGTATGTTGCTTGTTTCTGTTGCCTAGCAGTTCAACTTCATAAATAATTTTGTATTTTCAGAGCAGAAAAAAAATGGTTTCATAAAATTGTTTAAAAAAAAGTAGCTATGTTCAGAGAATTGTTCATTGCTCAGGTGCTGCTAGGTTGTCTTGGAAAGTTATCGAAAGTATTTTTATAAATATTGGAATGATGAAAGGAAATAAAATTATTTTGGCAAGTATTTAGTAGTTTAACTCTTATGTAAATCAGTCACTCAGTCTCTGCATTAAGGCATATGTGAAAAAGTATCTGAAGTCCAGCCTCCTGGAATGAGGAGAGGGAGTGGAGACTTACTGGAGGAGGTAAAAAAAGTAAATTAGAATTTTAATTTCCATCAACCTGAGAAGCAAATGTGTTAAGTGTCTTGCAGTTGCCAAGTGGAGGCAAACGCAGCCCAGGGAGGCATTGCTAGGGGTGGTAAGTGCTGGAAGCATTGGCTCACTTGACATACGTTGCTGTTCTGTGTGACAATATTTCACAACTGTTGAGGCTGTTCAGCACAGCCTCACCTTCAGACAGAGGCTGCTCTTCTCTCTAGAGCCCACGCTGGGTTTTTTTTTTTGTCTTTTTTTTGTAATCTACATCTCAAGAGAAAGCTGGGGAGAAGGCTAAATGCTGCCTTTAGATGGGAGCAAAAGGCCGAGCAAGGCTGTTGTGCATCTGCTGTTGTGAAGTGGCCCTGGGCTGGTGGTGGAAGGTCCCTCCTGCAGGAGGGCACTAGCTCCAGCTGGACCCTTGTCTGTAGGGATGATGCTCCCCTTTCTTGGAGGGGATAGACTAGGTCTGTGGAAACTGCCTCTAACAGAGTATCATCTGCGGACTTCTGTAGCAGTCTGCACCTAAGACTTCCCTGGAGTCTTCGGCTGAACAGCCAGGTGAAGGGAGATGCTTCCAGGGAAGGGCAGTTAGGGGGACCTGCTGCGCCCTCCCTCAGGGAACCCCTGCCGACTCCTCTAGTCTGACTTCCAGCTTTGGTGTGAAAGCCCCAGCTCTGAGGAGCTTCACAGCCACGGCGTGGGTTGGAAATGCCATTTCATACATGAGGATCAAGCTGCGTTTCCTCTCTGTTTGCTCATATGCAAGAGCATCTCGCTTTATGATGCGTCCCAGGGTAGGAAGCCTCTGCAGTGAATGTGATTTTTGAGACATGACCAGGCCCTGCTGAGCCTTTTGCAGCAATTACCTGAAGGTGATGAGTAGCAGAATCATTACAGAACTGGACACCTGTTTAAAGGGGCTGCATCCAAACTCTCGTAGTAAGCAGCATGTGCCTCTTACACGCTAGCTGAGGGACTAAACAAAGGGAAGCCTGGTGCTTGCTGTAGGTTTGCCTGGGGCTTTGCCATCAGGTGAGTACTGTATTAGTAATTAAACTGCTCTGCTTTGGTAACGTAACAGGAGCTCTTGGTGCAGCTGCACCAATGTCAACTTCCAAGAAACCTGAGCTCTGCTGTTGAGTGCGCATAACCCCCTGGTCCCAGCTGCAGGAGGAGGTGCTGGGCAGAGCCCTGCCCTGCTCTGGTCGGTATTCCAGTGCCCCCCTGACTGTCCAGGCTGTGCTTTCCCTGAAGCAGTAGGAGCTGGTGCACCAAGCAATGCTTTATGGAGGTTTTTCAGAGCTACATGGGGGGAGCAATCGAATTATTTCCTTCCTCTCCTCTAGACTACTAAATTTCTAATGCAAAGGGGAGGAATTTACTGCTCCTGGGGAACAAGGTATGTCCGGTGCAAAGAGCTACCCTTGCCCTGGGGCAGTGACCAGATGGCTTCCTCTTGCAGCTGCTGGACCAGCACTGTTGCAGCCTGTCCCTTTTTTCCCCTTAAGGTGCTGCTGAGAATCCTTACCCTCTGATTCTGGGTAATGCATTTTGCCTGGTGCCTGGCTATTGCAATGCAGCTTCTGTTCTGAACTTCATTAAGCCGTCAGCTCTGGAGTAGGAATCACAGCTGTAACACCCGGCAGGCTCATCAAAAACATTTAGCCTGGATCTTGTCTACTATAGCATCTGAGATCAGGTATAGCCCAAAGCCTCAGGCCCCGCAGAGGTGTTCTAGAGCTCTGTTCTTGCCTTTTTACCAGCACAAATGAGTTGAAATATTTCTGTGAGGTTGCCTTATCACACTGAGAAAGTGTTAACAAGCCATGGGGGGGCAGATGCTGTCCAGGACTTATTTTCTAATAGACAGGAATGGATTCCTGGCTAGAATTCATGTATGTTAACCAGGTGTAGCTTTGTCTTCATCCTTACTAGCTGGGCTGACGTGGAGGCCAGCAGAGTAAGCAGCCTGTCACCAATTCAGACTGTCCTTTCCATTTTCCTGATGGGCAGCACGGAGTTATGCATTGACAGAGCTCACTCCGGTCACAAGGGTGGTGTTGGAACAAATGTGTAATTGCTGTTTGCTTCATAGCTGTTGTGGAGGCTGCAGACTGAGGAATGGGGAGAGGTCTGTGGATTGTAGGGCATAATTAAGCATCAAAGTAAAAATAATACTCAAACACCCTTTGTGTTTGGCAATACTGAATTTTTTGTAGGATTCGGTTGTTTCTCAAAGGGAGTTTCTGGTCCTTAAGAGAAGAAAACAGCAGATCTGCTCCTGGAACATGGTGCAGCACATCTGTATCTAAGATGTTTGTGCTTTACCTCTGATGCCTCTTTCCTTTCTATACCAGACACTTCCTGCACAAGGGTGTCACTATTTTTCCATCCTTGGTCCAGTTCCTTGCTCAAACTCTCTAACACAGCCACAGCTGCTGCGGGTGTTGACGACACCTGCATGGCTGCATGTTAGGCAGGAAGAGTCCATGTGCTAGAAACTCCAGCTGGGTTTGTTTAGCCTGGAGAAGGCTAAAGCAGTAGGGGGGTGGGGTATAATTGAGAATCCCCTCTAATACAGCTGCCAGATTATGTCAGTTTTCACTGCAGCCCGAACGGGCAGGAGGGTGCCAGCACCCGGCTTTTTCCACCTCTGACTCTGCATCCTGACTGCAGGCTCTCCCTGGTACCCAGGGTAACTGGTGTTGGTGCGGCTGTTTGCTGGGAACACCCTTTACCTTCCCGATCCGTGGTGGATGGCAGCTTCCCTTCAAACCGGAGGCGAGGGGCAGGGCTTGCTCTCTGTGCTATCATGTAGAGATTTTAAATGTGTCTCCTAGCAGAGCACTGCAGTCGTTCTGCATTGTGAATGCGCTGCTTTGAGGCTTCCTCTAAAGGAATATTGAAGTGGCAAATCCATTTAGCACATGTAGGAGGCAAAGGAAGAGAAGACAGCAGCTGGGGTTCCCATGGCAGGCTCTGTTTGGATTTGGCTGTATCTCCCTTATTCTTTCCTGCTTGGGGTTTTAGTGGGGTCGGAGCTCTCTAGGCTGCACTCCCTGCTTCACTGCTTCATCTTGGGACTCCAGCTTGCCCGCCTCCTTCCCCCGGAGGAGGGATGCCTCCCTGCTCGTGGGACTGGTGGCAGAGTTTGGGGGGTGTTCCTGTGGCCCAGGGCTTCCAGAAGGGAAAGCTGGATTCCAGTGGGGTTGCAGCACTGGGGCTAGAGCCTTCCCCTACACAGCCCCGCAGCGGGGACCTCGCTGATTTAGAGTGCCTGACCTCTCGGTGCTGGGGCCGGCGGGTGCGTTGTGCTGGCAGCGGCTGTGGGCAAGGGCCAGTCTGGCAACCACGGCAAACGGTGGATCTCAAAGCACTTGGCAGACATGTTCCCCTTCTGCTTGAGGCTACATACTACTGCCCCTCCTTTGAGTTGTTTCTGGTCCTCGGTAGATCAGGAGCATTTTTGTGTACAGGCGGGAGGCGTCCCAGCCCTAGACAGCGACCACCTCCATGTGCAAGGAGACTGACAGGGGCTTGGCTGTGGCTTGCGATGGGAGGGGTTAGTTCAACAAAAGTATCTTTTGCAGCAACTTAGACTGGCTTTTCTGCAGGTGTCTTGCACTCGGAATAGTGTTCCTTTTGAATTCTGTACAGTTGTACACATTCACTACCTGACCTACTAACACTGCTGCTCGTCACGCTGACTGCATGTACAGCTTTCTGCTGAAGTAGTTTACTCCTTAAAATCCTCCCGCTGCATTTGGATCCATACGCAGAGTTACTTCCTTCCAGATCTGAAGCCATTTATAAGAGAGCAGCTTATTCATGGATGCAATTAGAACACTTGTCTAACTCATTACCAGAGTTAATGGTAAATCAAAGAAATATTCAGTATGTTCCTATAATTATTCTTGGTGATTTGCTGGATTGTTTTCATCTTGGGTTGGTGTCAGTTTTATTTTGCTGGTATTATGAATGAAACCCTTGTGCGTAATCTGTAATGATCCATCTTGGTAGAAAATGCCCATGAATTCACCTGGTTCACAGGACAGGTAGCGCGAGCTGAGGCTCAGCGGTGAAGGTAAGGGCTTTGTCTTCTCTCCCTGCGTTGTTCTGGGTGTTTGCTGGATCTCCTTTAGAATCTTAACTGTGATCCAGAGACTGCAAAAGGACTGTTCAGACTCTCCAGGCCTTGTGCAGGGATTCTTTAGTGCAAACTGCACTGCGTGTCTGTCTTTGGAGATGTACGGTAAGCATTTGGCTTGGACCAGAGCTGGGTTCTGAAGAAGATGAATTTGGTATCGTGTTACTCGGTTGCAGTGTAGGTAATAGCTTTTCCTGAACAGGCAGTAAGAACAGACACCGTCCCAGAAAAGAGGTGAGAAGGGCTTTTCTGAAGGGGTTTCAAGACTCCTGCCTGCGGAATCGGTGCAGCACTTTCAGACAGGTGGGGGAATGTGCAGGGTGAGAGCAGGAGGGGCGAAGGCCGAGGTGGAGTACAGGCTGTTCTGGGGTGGCAGGGGCAGCTGGAGACTGTTCTGCAGTTCAGAGGTGGGTTCATAAGGTGCCATGTTGGACTCGTGAGAGTGCCTGAATACTGGTTCTTTGCTTTCACAAGTCATTCACCCGTGAAGTGC